GTGAGGAGCAAACTCGTTAGTATCATTCAGGCTCGAGTGGATTCCAAGGAACGCTGTGGCTACGGAAATGATCTGCTTGGCTTGATGTTAGAAGCTTGTCACAAGCCAGAGGGGCAGATCCTGAGCAGGGACGACATTGTAGACGAGTGCAAGACGTTTTTCTTCGCAGGACAGGACACCACCGCCCAGTTCGTGACATGGACTATGTTCTTGCTGAGCACAAACCAGAACTGGCAGGAGAAGCTCCGGGAGGAGGTGCAGCGAGAGTGTGGGATGCAAACCCCAGATGCAGATATGCTCAGCAAGCTGAAACTAGTAAATTCACAGCCCGTTTTCTCCATGTAAGCTCGATAAAGCTGTGGTGTGACAATGTGTCGATCCTGTGCAGGTCACCATGGTTCTCCTGGAAACCTTGAGGCTCTACGGCCCAGTCGACGTGCTAAGGAGAAAGGCCGGTAAAGATATGACCTTGGGGAAGATCAATATCCCCAAAGACACCGAGATAGTGATGCCGATCATGCTGACTCATAGGAACAAGGAGATATGGGGACCTGATGCTGATGAGTTCAACCCACTCAGATTCGAGCACGGGGTCACCAAAGCTGCCACACACCCCACTGCGCTGCTCGCGTTCGCGGTAGGGCCGCGGGCTTGCATCGGCCAAAACTTCGCCATGTTGGAAGCCAAGACTGTGATCGCAATGATACTGCAGAGGTTCTCATTTTCCCTTTCGTCCGAGTACAAGCACGCTCCTCGACGCTCCACCACCGTCCAACCTCAGTACGGCCTTCCTGTCGTTCTTAAGCCGCTGCGAGCCGGAACCTGAATTGGTTGATACTGTGGTTCTATCTCTATGTCATCGTGCTTATTATTACCATGTAAGCGTATGGCCAGCATGGTCATGGAACTGTATCTAAATGTCGAGGAAACCACAAGATAATTTGCACTTAGATTTCGTAGTCTGTGACTTGGATCCAACTATAAACCCATAAATAAAATTATTGGTGGTTCTTTATTGGTTGCTGATCATTGTTTCTTGTTTTTTATCGTATAAAAATTAACCATCATATTATCGTACGTAGTGTTCATCTAGAAAGATATTATGGTTCCTTACAAACTTGCAAAAGATAGACACGTTAATGAAGTGTTTAACTCGAGATCTCATTAGACATTTCAATAAATATTTCATAAATAATATTAATTTAACTTATTTAATTGATTTATAAAGATGAGACACGTTAATGTCGAGATCTCACGACTAGATATTTCAATAAATAATATCGTATTGTTATTGATTTAATTAATTTTACTTAAGTGGTACGTACTCTTATATGTTCATCTAGAAAGATATTATAGTTCCTTAAGAACTCACAAAAGATGAGACATAAAGGAAGTAACCGGAGATATCACAAGTAGATATTTTAATAAATATTTTATAAATAATATAAATTAGATATTATAAACTATGAATGATCACACAAGAAAGGGTCTGAGATGGTCTGTTACAACCAAAAATCTTGATAAATGCTCACAAGACACTATTTTAAAATAAGACAACAAACCAGTCCTAGATAATACTCCAAAGATCAATCCAATCATGTACCACTCAGGTAGCTTTAGGGTGTTGGCTAACACTCCATACCATTTTGCGAAACTTGAGAAACACCCAAAATGGCATCTAGCTAATTTATTTTTGGGAGGTTTTGCCTCTGCATGATAATTATACATAATTTATATTTATACAATTAAAATAACCATGAAAGTCAATTAAATGGGGTTACTAACCCTACTATAAGCCCTCTATATATTATGCAAAGCATGAATAAAATCAAAATATACAGATATACACAAATATTACATCGAACACCTTATGCACAATACTTATTCCTTTGATATCCTTGCTGAAGCCTTACGAACACTACATCTCCTCACAATTGCTAAATTTTTAATCTTTCACTTTAGCTACAATGCATCTCCCTAGGCTTCCAACCACTTTTCATCGTTATTATTAAGTAGTCAAACTTTGATCTATAAATGTTGTCTTCGAATTATAAACTTCAGTCAAGTGAGTTATGTTTATCTTTGCTAATTCCAACGGATCTCTTAGACGAAAGAAAAATACCTTTCTTATTGTGTACTAGTCTTTTAAACGTTTCGCACCACTTGAACTATGTAAATACTCATTGAAGTTTTAATGAGCATTGTCTCATAGATTTAAAATTTTTTTAGGTCTTTTCTCTATAAAATTTGCCATCAATTTTTCTTCTACTTAATTATCACCTCCAAGTAGGTTCACATCACTTTCGCTTTTAATTAATATTTTATGGAGAAATAAAGCGAACAATCTACTTTTGATAGAATCAATCAGTATTGGTGAGGATTTGATAATTATTGTCTTTCACTAAGTCTCTTCGAATGGTCTTTGAACATGTGTATAGCTCCTCTACTAGATAAATAAAATAACTAGAGTACTCGATTTCACTTATTCTCTTAGGAGTTGAGAAAGAAAAAGTTACTTAACTTTGCCTATCTCCTCAAGGGTTATATTTTAAGCATCAAGTTGGTTATAAGCTTTCATCTGTTTTTTTATGTTTATAAAGCATCCAAAGTGCTTGCACTCCTTACATTAAGTTAGTTATTATAATTCACATACTCATTATTATTTGACTTCTAGAATGTAAGAAGTTTTGATTAAAAAGAGTAAAATTTTATCATAATTTGGAGCAAGTCGTCGATAGATTTAGTCTTCTTTATAATTTCTACTATCTACTCCTCTAAGTAGAAATACAATACTATAAACTACCTACATTATTATTTGATCGAGCACTCTTGCATCAACTTGTAATCCCCCACTTTTGGCTATCTTGATGAGAAGTTCATCGACACCGGTCTTATAAATTTTTTTAGCCTATACTCTTCTGCCTTGTCTCAATACTTATAATTTGCCTCTATATTCTCCACATACTCAGCCCCTTTCACGAGCATGCACCCTCCCTCCATGAGAGTAATGGATCGATGATTCCACGAAAATCTCGCTCTCGTGATACCATGGTACTGCTATGCCCATGACCCTACTATCCAGCATCTTGCATCTGCATCTCTTTCTTTGTCATCAGTATGTAAGCCTCTGCAGTACTGTGGCACTCCTCTAAGTCTACCTCTATTATAATTGTCTCATGGTTTTGAGTAGTTAAGTCACTTAGACTCGTCGTCACTTCCTCACTCCTTTCGACTAGTTGCTTTAACATCTTTATATTTTATAGGCAGTTCCCCTTGGTCAATGAAAAGATAAACTATAATTTTCATGCATAGCCTTTGCCATTATGTTGTAGGGTTCATGTGGATTCTATTCTCCTTTGTATCATTGGTAATAATATTCACTCACTTGTCCTTATCTTTCGATTTGTTGGGCTCCCCTAAGTGAATATGAGCTATTGAGTAGTTCAACTCTATGATCACTACGATCATACCTCTGTATAATTAACTCTCCCTATGGGACTTGGTAATTCTTGTACTAGTTATAGGTGCCCTGCAAGTCAATCACGTGAGTGATGACATGTTTGACATGCGGCACAATCTTTTTCGTTAATATTATTATTATTACATTTTCTCGTTTTATATTTGGTAATGAATATATATTGTGATGTCCTTGGATCCGTGCAATGGGAATTGGATCATGATGAGATCATGAAAATGAGACCAATTTACCTTTAAATATAAGATCCTAAATATTTCTAGTCATAGATTACTCGAAAAGGTCATCGAAATAATCAAATAGACTAGTATATTATATACTCATCCATATCTCATAACTGTTTATGTTGAGATATTAGGGATATAGTATAAGTGATTGGAGAATAAGTTCATTAAATGATCTGCTTATGGAATGATGATTGGTTACTTCTTTCAATGGGCGAAGATCAACTACCCTTACAACTCTTTCTCCTTTTCACAAGCCCAGGAGAGAACATTTACACATCTCTTTTAGACCTTACTCCTCCCTTAGAAAACTTCCAACCCTAGGAGGAAGAGACTATATAACTTAGAGTTTTTAACTTTTTTCTCAAGTATTCTTTCCCCTTTTTCAACTCTATTTCTTGCTTTCCCGAGCAGAAACTAGTGGAGTATTTATATATTTCAAATGACTTTAAAAAGTGGAGCAAAAAATCAAATCTATGGGATTTCGAGGTATTGGCAGTACCATCGCTTATTAGTTTGACACTGGACGGTACCACCACCTAGTCTAGTGGTACCATCGCTTGACACACTAACACTGGGTAGTACCACCGCCCAGTCTAATAGTACCACTGCCTAATAGCCTCGGAGATTGGGCTTTTGACTTTTTTAGCTCATAGGTGGTTCTACCGCCAATTTGGCGATGCCACTACTTGACCCAACTTTTGGATTATTGAATGAGTCTTCCTCTTGGTCCAAAATAGTCTCATTTCAAGCCCAATGAGCCCCTAATTGAGTTAGTCTGATTACATCAAAAACTAACTCAATTAGCCCTAAAGTAACTCGATCTATATACACACGGTTATAAGAATGAATCCTATGTTGTTTGGCATGTCATTGGTGTTGGGAAATCTTGGGGGCGACATCACATACGCAGCGGAAGAACAAGAAAACAAAATCCCCGATTCCCAAAAAGATGTTCGTCGTCGTGCGAAGATTGGTGCGAAAAAATCGCGAAACATAAAACTGCGTATAGAGTAGATTGTGTTACCTAGGGAGATCGTATATCCCTGTTTCCTTGCAGATCCTTAGGAGAGGGTGAAGGAGGTCAAGC